AAAAATAGTATGTGATTTTTGTTATCATTACAATACCACAAAGGGAAAAGGAAATGTCAAATGGATGGGCTTACAGCAGTTCCCACATTGGGTAACCTGTGTAATTCATTAATCGATTGTGTTAGGTGTCATGTTCATGGTGACACAATTGACCAGGTTGGTCACGGTACATGATCTTATACAATTGATTCAGATTTAAAAGCACACCTGATGGAATACTTTTTTTTATGAAATGCACATTTTACGAACGTAATAGAATTCCACTTCATTAATGTTCCAAAACACATTTCCATTATTAAATGTAAGTAAAAACTTATTAAGTCGAGGGAATAAAATAATGTACCAAATTTTCCAATGTTATCATCTTGACGAGAACTTTCACCTTTTTATGATAGTCCACGATGACCCAAAAATAGTATCTATGTAGGAAATTTAATATTTCTTAGAATAATAAAGAGATGATTTAGCGGAGATATGTAATTCTTTCTTGCCAAAACAAAAGAGCTCTTTCAAAAGCGTATAAATATATTAAATTAGTTCATTTTTTTAATGAAAACAAAAAGTCCGTTACTTAAATGTCGCGTGTGTGCTTCAATGTTATCCTGTAAATATAGATTAGATATGTGTATTACAAACACCATAGAAATTTCATCAGTAAGTTACTGCTGAAGCCGTTTAGCAAATCTAATGGGCATTTATTCTGCCGTAACCGTAATAGGGGACGACATAAGAAAAACGGTGCAAAAATTCAAGGGCATCACTATACTATGATCGAAGTACAAAATGAATAAGGGGCCCAGATTTATGTCATACCAAATTGGCCGTGTCCATCCTCAATTGAACTTATTGTATTAAATTTTGGTGATTCGTTGCGGTTAACTATGAGTTATTGTTAGTCACCTTTGGTCTCTCTTCCTTACTTATTACAAATCTCAATTGATAAATGAAATAAGTATTCGATTTAATCACCTTAGTCCAAAAAAATTTTTGATTTTACTGGGCCAAAATACAGGCATTAAGTGGTAACTAGGATTCTGCTGAGTATAATGAGATATTGTTTTTTTTGTGTTATCTAATTCAATACATGCTCATGACATTGTGAGCAGGGTTTTCATCCCGGTAATCTCGGTCTCGAAAATTTCAAGAGTCTCCACAATTTTTTGGCATTTTCGGGACTCGAGAATGACGTTTTCAGTCACGGGACTATCGAGACTTAGGGTCGTATTCCAGAACTGTACTCAATGCTCAAGTCAGGATTTGAGCAGACTTGAGTATGATTTCAAGCACTGGAAATACGACCCTAATGGCATTAAAAATCTACCAGTGGACATGGAATGGCAACACTGATAATTCGTAATCCGTAGAATGGAGCTTAATATAATCTGTGGCGATTGAAGAACGATAGTAACAAAATCAAGTCCTCTCCATTTGAAACTATGTATAATAACGCCCGTAGTTTTTTACGTACCCACTATAAAAATGAAAAAATAACTTTTATAATAATTGTTGGTTTTATAATTTGAATTAATAAAGAACTTAATTAAAATATCATGTTTTGAATGCCTAAATACCTAGCCTATCGGTATGGAAACCTACTTTTAGAAAAGTCTCGAAAGCCTAGTTTTTTCCGGGATTCGATATTATTTCCCGGAACGCGGAAATGCAGCGAGATAGAAAGCCTTAATTGTGAGTTAAACTAATCTTGAAATGAAAGTCAACCCGAAGTCTGATATTGACTAATAGGTAAAAGTCACCAGCCCCCAAGTACTTGTCATGTTTTAGTGCAGCAACGAACAAGATAAATGGCTAGTGAATTTTCGCATTGAGAAAAAAGGAACCATTTGTTACGCTTTAACAGTATTACGCACTTACATGAACGTCTGTAGATATCTATGAAATATATAACGCAAAAGTTTACCATTAAGATCAGGTCACACACACGCGGTACAGCGAGAAAAGCGGTCCGGGGGCGTACCCGCGGGAAGCGAATGCATACTGGAGCGTGCCACACGAAAGTCCTAGGCGTAGTTCATGGCGGGACCATGGGACAGCGGCGCGAACAGCGGCGCGAAGGCGGCCGGTGTGACATATAATATTCTAATATTTTAAAGAAAGCATCATACCGCTGTCAGACAGCGTTCAAGAAAAAAATCTGCTTTTATTCGAGTTATTGAAGCAACGCCAAAGAAATTTCGGTCGAATTAATACTAAAACCCCAAATATACATTTAGGAGTTGTAAAAAATACAATGTGCAATCCCGCTAAAGGTTCGCTCCCGGATTGCGATTCGCCGCCCGCGCCGTTGCCTCTCTATAGTGGACGATTGCATAGAACGGGATTACAGCTTTGGGCCCGCACCTGTCCCGGACCCGGTCCGCGCCTCCGACCCGCAACCCGCTTTCAAAGTGCCAGGGAGCAAAAGATCTCGAACGTTAAAAAAAATCTCGGCCCCGAAACGCTCCCGCTACTGCCTCTGTGTGGCCAGAGCATAAAAGATTAAATTGTGTTATTCGTTTACGGTATCAATTACAGAATGAAGAGTTTATGAAATTCAGCCGACTGAAAACGAGGGGGAAATCTAATTACCCCAAATAAAATTGTGACAGACAGAACACCATGAGAAAGTCAACCGTGCAAATTCCAATTGGGGTTTTTTATAACTATTATTTCAACTTTAGTTCAATTTTGAAATGTTAACGAAGAGAATAGCGATGTAAATTTATGTTTTACCTTGAGACGGTTTTGAAGCGTGAGCGTTAATAAGACTTACCTGTAATTAAAGAAAGATTTACATTAGCTAAGTTTCAAAACATTGCAGCAACTGCTTATTGATCTATTAATGTCATTTATGATTATTAACAGACAGTTAATCGGTATTGTAGCAAGATTGTAGCCTTGCTTGTCAAAAGGTAAAGCTGGTTGTATTAATGTAGTTTAGAAACGTATAACTCGGTGCTATGCCTGTTTGAAAATATTAGCATATTTACTATTTAGACTCACAAAGCAACATACGAAATTTACATTACAACATATGAAGTTGCAGTGGTCTGATTTTGAATATTACTTAATAGTAAATATTGAATATCTTAAAAGGCTCAGATTTGTAATAGAATTTTATGAACCATGTGAATTTAGAATTAACAGAAAAGGAGATTAAAACAATAAATACAAAGAAATAATAAAATTAATAATTGTAATTTTTTTATAAAAAAAACCATTTCAAAAGTTTGTGGAATCAGATTTATTTGCCAAATTTTCTTGTTGATATCGGTTAACGAAAAGTGGGGGAAATCCAATAAACCAGACCCATCCCCCAATTTGCCACCGTTAGAAGCGGGAAATTTTCTTCAAGTTTGAATAACTAATAATGAAGTACGGGGGGGTACCTCAGTATTGGTCCCATTAAAATTTTCCACCAAAAAATGAATCAACGAAATCTGTTCACAAATGTCGGAGTAATCCCGTAACATACAAACAAATAAAAGAACCAGTCGAATTGAGAATATCCTCCTTTTTTGAAGTCGGTTAAAAAAGACAGCACTCGAATTCGAAGAAAACATCCAAAACAGTTTAAAGTAAAACATTCACTTGAAAATATAACGGTCAAGTGCGGAAGCCCGTTTGAAATAACGTGTCAGGAATGGGTAACATTTCAGTTCAATAATAAATTACCGTAAGTCCTGAATTGAGGAGCTATCAATGTGCTGTGTGCAGAAATTAGTCAGTTTGGCTGGGTAAAATAAAATGCAAACAAACATTTCCACCTTCCACACGTATCCTATCGATTGACTCAGGCGCCTTCGAGTCGCACCCCGCACCACATTCTCTCGCACCTCGGAATTGAAAGTTTGCACATTTGCCAATTCGTAATAAGTTCTTGACATTGGCATTGGAGCCGAAGGCTACAGTAATATTATTCAAATATTCTCGCTCAAAACAATGAACAACTTATGAATAAATGTATGTATAGGTATACATATATGAATAGGTATTCAGAATGGATCAAATTAAAACAAATTTTAGTGATCAAAGGGTAAGCAAAGTAATGTCACAGTCAAAAACGATTTAACCCTATTTCCTCACAACAGCCTGATACACCCGCACGATCTCTCTTCACTTACTTTGTAAAGAAAATTCAATTTCCGAGCGATCGAGGTATATAGTTTGTTTTGATATGAGCATGCAGCTACATGGCAACATAACAACTGTATGAAGGACATTTTTACCGATTATATGTCTACCTTCTAATTTTGCCTTGAGGCTTATAGATTTTTTATTGTGTAGACAAAGCCCACACAATACTTTCTGTGTTTGTTATATTCGATATATTATTCACTACCGCTTCACTTCCAATATATAACAATGATGACATGTTAAATAGCAATTACACGAAGCAATAAACTAAAGAAAGGACTGATTTTTATATCCTTTGAGTTGTACATCTAGGTAAAATTACGGGCTGGAGTATTTATTGCCGGAGGGTCGTGTGCTACAAAATTTTTAGCGTAACACGCACACCTTTGAGTTTTTTATTTAACTTTCGTACGAAACGAAACTTTGATGTAAATAAATATTCTTTACAAGGGTTTTTTCACATAATTGTTCAAATGTCACGTTTAATTGTTTTTGAACAAAGGTAGCTAATGTAAACCTTAAAACTCTAACAGAATCCCCTTAGTAATTTGTAGGCGTTCGGAAGAAAATCGCTTGGAAAATAGCGATAGAGGCGTGCCCCATTCAACCTTTTTACGTTTAGGCCACCCTCGTGTCTACCTACATAAGGGGACTTCTTTAGAAAACCTGCTATCACCGAAATAACTGTCTTATTTTATTTACACTCGGCTACAAGCGCGTGTTTTATTTTTATAAGGAACCATTACAACTACTGCAAAAATTTAGGTCAAGTGGATCAGTGGAATTTTACTGATTGTGTCTGGTGTAGTAAAAATATAAGCAAATCGAATTTTTAGTAATTTTAATATTGTTTTTATTTGTTTCAGACAGTAATCATGAAGAAAAATATACACTGTACAAGTGGATGGTGGGTAGTGTTACTGACCGCCACGCTGGCAGTATCAGCGATGGCAGACACCGGAGCCAGTCTCTACAATTCAAGTCTTAGCCAAGTTATTACCTCAAGTACCCTCAAGTGGACCAATCTTAAAAAGGAAAACATCAATAACTACGTAACCGGAGCTACTTCTCCGCAAGGTAACTTTCATACGAATATAATAAATAAAGACAACCAAAACCTTGCCAATGTTGCCAGATAAGACTAACAAAGAAACCTCTTTTACAGGCGCTATTTACCTGTGCAGAGCACGTCATGAGGGTGAAATGCTTTTGGGACAATTACGACCAGATTATTCATCGTGTGCAGTGTCAGGAAGCAAAAGTTACAATGTATTTGAGGTACTCGAGAACATAGAAAATGCTTCTTTAATCCATTGGAAGCCGTGGGCCAAGTTCCATTCGAAGCCTAATGGTGGTGTAATAGTATCTACACTTGATTCAGTGTTTATAGGAAGGAAGAAAGCCCCGACACCAGGTGGATTCTCACATAACATTGGAAGAATTGCATACGACAATACAATTGGTCACTTATACGCGTTTGATGAAGAAAACAACGACTTAGAAGAAACAAATGGTGAAATTTTAGTTGAAATCGAACCAATTAGTTACAAATTGGAAAATGTAGAATTTGATTTAAAAACAGAACACGTCCGTCAAGGTGATCCCAAGATATTAGAGGAAAGAGTCCTCCAAAATGATGGTGAAGAGGCTGCTACCGTTACCGCAGAAGTAGGATATAAATATAACTACAGTCTCTCTTGGGGACATGGTCATGGTCTAGCAATTGGTCTGAATGTAGAAATTGAATTAGCTAACCATACAAAATACCAACCTACTGGGTGGTCTACACTTTTCATTGAGGAACGAGAGGACGTGTTTGAACTCAAACAACATCTTCAGCCTGGAACTGCTTGTAATGTGACATTGAGGGAAAAACGTATTGATCGCGATGTACAGTATACGGGAAAATTAACTACTTATTACAGGGATAACGAATCTCGAAGCAGACAAATGCGAGGTGAAAGTCTTGAAAACACAGTGCTAGTGGAACCTGAATACGGTGAAATTTACTTCCTTGTTAACAACACATTGGTACCAACGACCACAACTACTACCACTACGACAACTACTACTACCACAACTACAACAACACCAAAGCCAACAGAACCGCCAATGCCGGAAGAAAATGAAATTTCAATCCAGGAGAAACCTAATGATGCACCAGCTGAAATGCAAAGTGACAGCAGCGAAGCAGATAAAACAAATGCCGTAAATGAGGAAAAAATATCAACGGCGAGGGTTGGTGGACTCGGTAGTAATCCTAACGGAGCCAGTACGAGAATGATTTCTTCCACAATCTTGATCCCATTATTTGCACTATTATTTTAAGTAAATATATCAATACACACAGCTGTCCTTGTAAATAAATGGAAATTATCGTAAACTAGTTACGTTGCCGTTATATCTGGCAACTAAGCTTAATGCTGTTGTTTGGGAAGAGTAGGGGTACGCCGTTTGCCCTTTCTCGGTGTAATATTGTAAATAATAAAAGTGTTTGTTTTCCTAACATTCCTGTTATGTGATTTCACTCCACTGTGTAAATTGAGAAGTCCTTTCAATCACATAACTGTAAATAGATATTGTAAATAGTTACGAAAATGGAAGTCGCAGAGCGACGAGAGAACTTGCCGTGTCATCAGTAACATGACGAAAGGCGTTTGTATGTAGGGTTAACATCATGAAACGTATGAGTGCGACAGCGTTACCAACTTGACCCTCGAGTTATAAAATACTAAAACTAATTTATGACAACAATTTCAGAACAAACTCCCAATGTGATACGTTGAATAGATAAAATGTCGTAGGTTCCTTTCTGAGTATTAAAATCATATTAGGAACCTTGTTCATCTTTACACATGGTATCTATATTTTTAATTGTACTATTTGACGTAGCTTTTAAATGACTCTTTAAACGTTCGGTCGACTTCATACAATATTATGTACATTTAGCAAATCAATGGCCTTGGTCGTAAATTGATAGATAAAATTTAGGTCGTCGCCATATAAGCAATTTTGTCCAACGTAAACTTTTCCCTAAGTAACTTATACATAATATTATAATAATTTGATATTTTCTAGCACATTGCCATTAACCCATATTGTTCTAATTCGTGTAGTCAATTCAACCAATATTTCTATACCTCCGTATTTTACAATTGAGTACCTATTTACTTTACTTTTGTTATTTTTAGTTTTAAAGAGTTTAAATCCAGAATTAAGAGATATTATTTTTTAAAGGTTTTAGTGTTACATTATTTAATTTATTTTGTTTTTATTGCGGATTATTAAGACTAGTATAATGCTTACATTAAGTGATGAAACTCTATTACTGAAAATTTAGGAAGAAATTATAACTTTGTTATTCTATAGCCAAAGTTGTAGTTGACAGTTGTATATGCACTAGTAGTAACTATCATGAACTCAATAAATACTGATATTAAAAATTTGACATTTAGTCCCATTATTAGACCTAAATGATCTTACATCTATCTAAAATAATCACAAAGTTGTGAGCCAAAATTATGTGACTCTCATTGAAAGAGTTCTTAGATATATTAATTAAAATTGATGTTTATAATAGTAATAGAAACTAATACAGCCATACAAGAAACCTTCCATCAGGAATCTAATTTGTATGATACAGCATAGGGTTACAAAATTAAAGCCCTCAGTAGCTAGACGGAAGTTAAATGTTAGAATGCTTAAAGGTCTTTGTCAATGTGTAAAGAAAATGGATGATATTTTTGTATGGGTATATGAATCAGTAAGTGTTTGCCTTAAGAATCTGTAAATGGAATAACTTCATAGATCTTTATTTCATCTAATTAACGTAGTTCAGAGTTTACACGACATGTATGGGAAGTACCCCTGGGTTCGCTTTATGTATGATCGTGAGGTACTTTTTAAAAGCTGACAATTTATATTAGACCCGACACCATCTTGAAAATTGGAATTGAAAATGCAATGTCGACGACTGATTACACGATTATTCAGTAACCAATTCAGGGCTCAAAATAACCTGCCAGCTTTTAACCTTGTCGTGTATTTAGTTTGATTAAGTAAGTAATTAAAATAAAAGATGCTTCTCAGTATTTTTTCACTGAATGTAGTAGCGTGTTGTTGAGATAAAAGTTATATGCTTTCATTAATGTTTATAGATTCTCCCACCTGAAGTACCGTTAATTGTTAAGGCGTTAGGATATCTTACAAATCATTATTATGTAATTATAGGTCAACTGAATTATTCTGCTTATTTCAGTTTTTTTGAATTTTAAATTGATGTTTAGATTTAATGTTCGAGGCCTCTACGTTCAACGTACACTATTAATAGTTAATGTGTCGATTTTGTTGCGCACATTATGTGACCTAAACTAAAGACTGTTCCAAAATATAATACTATCTAATCTCTTTTACACCAATACGCAGTGTATAGACACTAACAAAGAAGTATTATTAATATCATAAATGCATTGCCGGCAGAGGAACATAAGATTTTAAATTAACTTTACCTCGAATTTCGTTGGTTTGGAACGCACCCCGTATCAAAGCAGCACTACTTTGGGGCAGAAAAGGGGTAGGGTGGTGATAGATACCAGTTTTGGTGGTTATCAATTAGTATATATAGGTTTAACAGTGTGCAACAAAATGGGTACTAGTTTCTTTTCTGATTTTCATTGGAAAAGTTAAAACAATGCAATTGTTAAACATCATGTACATCAATTTAATATAATAAACGTAGTTCTCAACATCAAAATTGTTTTGCGAAGCATAATTGTGATGTTCAATGTAAGTTTTATTTGTTTAAACCCATTAAAGTGTAATTGAAACCTTATTGCGTTTTCCTTTTTTTTCCTTTAAACCTATACATAATACATGTCATCTGCGTAATTTCAACAAGAAAGTATGTCTGTAGTTACTATCCTCTAATTAAAAAAAACCTTTACTGTGGTGTACCTAGTCACGTTATGGTATATACCATCTTTTGTGGTAAGGTGCAGTAGTACAAAACAGGGAAGTACTGCCACCTTACCTATTTCTGTCGCCAAGCAGTAATTGTGAGCATTACTGCATTCCGATTTTAAAGGGTAAGGGTATTGGTGAAATCGCAGGCACATGGCTATTGTCAACTTATGTCACAGGGTGACGAGCGCAGTGGCAGTGCTCATTAGATCTTTGTGATTTAAAGCACTGAGTGGCACTGCAACTATTATGGACAGGCGTGTTGCTTACCACTAGGCAGGCTCAAGACTTGTTCGTCCCATCAGTTGGTATTATAAAATAAAAAAAGGTGAAATATGGTTAGAAATATTTAATAATTTAATTAAATTAAAAAGCAAACACGTTTAATAATTTTGGTACGCTATATAAATTTTCGATCGATCACAAATATGTAAATTACAGGCGACTTCAAAACGGAAAGACAATTATTGCATTTTTTAAGAAGTCGTAAACAAACAAATACGAGTACTAATGACAAATCGACTTTTGGAGTTCAACATGAATACGGTATAAATCATTATTTAAACTGCAGTCTGCATTTGAAGATAACTTTGAAAATGTATCTGTGCTATCTCATTTTCATCCCTTAAAAGCCTCAACATTTATTTACTCGTCGTATAATTGGTAGTGTGGTACACAGATGTCTAGCCGAGGGGTGAAGGCGCCTCTCTGTCTCTTTAACTTGTCCTTGCGCTGGGGTGGTTCAAGATAATGTGTCTGCACTTTGTTATACCACCAAGGGGTACACCGTCGAGTAACGTAATAGTTTTAGGATTTTTAATACACTTCAAAACTGGCCGTTCCAATTAAGTCATAATAATTGGTAAAACTCAATCACAAATCTACATAATTACATAATTAATATATACATGCTGCCCAATTAAGCTGATTTTGCAGAACTATATAAGATATTAAAAAACCGATTAGAAGGGGTTGTAGATCTTTTTTTTTATAACATCAAGTGACAGGACGAACAAGTCGTGCGCCTGATGGTAAGCTACACGCCTGTCCATAACAGTTACTACTCTACTGCTACTAGTTCTCGTTTCGCTGTAGTTTCTCCCAGATATGTCAATAACTGCGTAGGGCTAGCACGATAAGGCGCGACTTGCGCGAGAGATCTCTATGCGAGAATAGTAGTATCTCGTGCTAGTCGCGCCCTATCATGCTAACCCTGTATTTTCGCTAAAAATGATAAGAAGGGCAGCGCACACTTTACGCCCTTTTCCCATTGCGATGGACAGAGTCAGCCTAATTATTATAATTTACGTTAAATGTTACGCGAAATTGTATTACACGAGGAATAATGTTATTTTATGCAAAATAAATCCAGGCTTGACCGCAATCTCACCCGAAGTTAAGGCGCCGCGCAAACGCGTGTCATGTGTTGGATACAAGCAACCCGCAGGTAGAAGCGAATATTTTATTTTCATACAATTAATATGAAACCGACACAGTCCCTGGTTGCCGCAACCGCAATTGTATGAAAACAGAATATTCGCTTCTAGTTGCTGGTTGTTTGTATCCAACACAAAACACGCGGCGCCTCACAGTGGGCCCAAATTGATAATTCTTGGACATAGGAATAACTTGTGGAGTATCGAGCAAATTTTTTTTTATATGATATATAACAATATTCCTAACAACTTTTATCCTTGTATAATCTCTTGAAAAGTTGATAGTTTCGGAGAAAAAAAATTGTTTTTTTTTGTATGGAGAAATATACATTTTATTTTTTATCTCAACATATACGAAAATGTAATGTAGAAAAAATAATCCGTTGGGCCCACCACTGTGCGCCTAAGCGACGAAGTGACTGACGACCGAGGGATGAGTTTGTCTAAAAAAATACCTATACAAGTTTGTTTCAAAAATGCCTATTTACTCTATATTGTAATAGTAATACAATATTAAATATATTATTCCTCTAAAAGGGTATCTCCTACTTCACTATATAATTATATGGAACGTCAAACTTTAAACTTAGCTCATTTTCTTGTTTGTACAAACTTGCATTTTTTTCACAAATTTCGATTACACAAATTAATGAAAGGATCCAAATTATGTTTATAATCATGATAATTATTTATCATAATTAGATATTTATAAAATTAATTGCAACAACAAAACGCTACCGCTATCAATGTCGTACCATATGTTTGTATCAGACACATACATATCCAAACGTGTCAAGCAAATCAAATCAAACCAAAATCAAAACCAAATTGTTTCCCATATAAATAAAATTTTTCTTCGTGTTTGTTTAGTTTTATCTCAGTCAGTTTTAGTAAAAAATTAAAAGGGGAAACTATGAATTAGAATGGATAATTATTGTATATATACGGGTTAATTATTATGATAATTATAAAAGAAAATAGATACTTTAATAGTTTTTAATATTTCACTTGTGAAGACATCAATAACTTGACAGTAAAATATACGTCTTTAGTTACAAGCTACACTGAGACAAAAACGCAATAGGTATTGTAGGTTATGAGAGATCGTAAAAAGGAATATGGGAGGCTATAGAGAAAAGCCCCGAATGAGTTATGTTGCAGGGTGACTTGCAGTGCCTCTATAGCTTCAAAGGGCAGATATATTGCAGGTTTCTCTTCGATGTGAGGGGTGGAATATAAATAATATAAAGATGTGAAATGCGCGAATTCATTTCAATAAAACCAATATTATGAATTTGACAATTAATCGTTTTCAGTTGCATTCTTAAATGCACACCTTAAATGAAGGACGTAAGGGTGATTAAGTTTGAACGTATAGATGATGAAAACAATTCGGACGTGTGAGATGTGTTTGTTTAGTGTAACCGGTTTTACCTTTAGTCAAAAGTAGAGATATAGATTTTATGTAATTGGTGAAACCTATACCGAAAAGTGTCATAAATTTTGTGATACAAGTTTTATAAGTAACGAAGAAAAGAATCTGCAAATATATTAACTATACAATTGCGTATACGGTATTTTCCGGTAAAAATGTATGCAAAACACAGTCAAGACAACGACGTGTTTCTTATTGTACGTAGGTCACTCAATAAGTTTTGAGATAAAGAAAAAATATCAAACATATTAATATAATTTATTTTACATTTCTTCAAAATACTCTCCATCATTATCTACCCAAAGTTTCATTCGTCTAAACCAACTCTGAAAACACTTTTGCCAGTCTTGATCCGTCAGCATTGAAATTGCCATTTCGTAGGCAGCTACTGCTTCTTCGACACTCAAAAAAAATTTTCCTTTGATTTTATCCTTCACTGTTGGGAACAAAAAGAAATCGCAGGGAGCCAAGTCAGGGCTGTACGGCGGGTGATTTAAGGTTTCTATACCAGATTCCTCAATAAACGCCTTTGTTCTGAGGAACGTATGTGAAGAGGCGTTATCGTGATGTAGCATGATTCCCCGAAGCCCGGTCTTTGGTCTCCTCTCCCGCAAAGCTTGGAAAACTTTTGGCAATGCTACTGTTGTGTACCATTCTGAATTAACAGACCTACTATTTTCTAACATTGACGTCGACAAATGTCCGCTCCGAGAAAAAAAACTAGCTACCATTTTTTTGCCGGCGTTTCGAGGTCTTTGCAACTTTGTCGGTAATTGTCCCTCTGCGAAGACCCACACCGACGACTGCTTCTTGCTTTCTGGATCATATTGATAGATCCATGTTTCATCACCAGTAACGATTTCTGAAACACGTCTCGATGTCCCGTTTTCGAAACGTATAAGCATTTCTCGGCACCAATCCACTCGAGCCTGTTTTTCAGCACCGGAGAGCAATCGTGGGATCCATCGACAACAAAGCTTCCTCACTCCAAGATGTCGATGCAGGATAGTATTGACGCTTCCCGAACTAATGCCTAGGATCTTCTCAATGTTCGTGTACGTAATTCGTGGGTCTTCTCGCACCAACATTTCAGATGTCCACACATTTTCTGCAGTAACTGCTGTTTCCGGGCGTTCGCCTCTTAGGTCATCTTCAAGGTTAGTTTTGCCTCCTTAAAATTCCTTAAACCACCTAAAAACTGTTGCACGAGAAGGAGCAGAGTCCTCTAATGCTGACTGCAAACGTTCCAAACTCAATTGTTCAGTTAAACCACATTTAAAATCATAGAAGATCATAGCACGCAAATGTTCACGGTTAAGATCCATTATTGTAAAGAAAAAGCGCGGGAAGCATTGTAGTAAAATGACTAAAGGCCCATTTAGATGGAGAGAGTTTCTCGTCTCGAAGATACGATTATCGAAAGAATATAAAAAAACTTTCCTCGTCTAAACATTTGCGATTATCGACCGTCCACGTGAGCGATAATCTCCTCGCCTTTCAATATAACGTCTCCGTGTAAACAGAACTCGAAAGCAAAAATCGTATTTCGAGTTTCTGTGCCAGCCGTTTCTACCACGAGTGCAGCGCGCGAGGGTGTTTTGATTATCACTGCTTTTCTAAGACAAGAATTAATGGAACAAGAGCGAAAAAAAAATTTCAAATAACGGTGAGTGAGTGCCTCTGTGGTCGAATATAGCGTGGGCAATATAGTATTTAGGGTGCTCTCGTAACGAATATGGCACTTCTTTGAAAAGTCGTGCCCGCACTTTTCAAATAATGGCAAGTTGGGTATCGTTTTTGAGGTATTTGGGGGTGCTCATTACGAACATAGCATTTATTTCTAAATCCAAGATGGCCGACACGACTTTTCAAGTAAATGTACTTTTCAATAAACACTCCTCACTAACTCCCCACTCACTCCCCACTCACTCCCTACTCACTCCCTACTCACTCACACACTCACTCACTCACTCACTCACTCACCACTCACTCACTC